GATATACTTGTTAAAGAACTGGGTTATGGTTGTTCAGATTTGGTTTAATTTCTTATAAATACCATGCTGTCCATTATAATTCTGTGGCATTATTGGTGATTTAAGAGAAACAGATCACATTTTGACCCCAACTCTGAGACTTTCATATTAATTAAAGAAGCACACATTTGGCTTATTTTCCTGCAAATAAGGAATACGACTATTAAAAAAAAACTATAGGGGGCTGATTCCTAAAAGTATATAGGGTCAACTCTTTGGACATCACGGTTGTGTTTTTCCTGTTGAAACTAGCTGGCCGTCGGTACAAAAGTAAAATAATGATTCACAAAGTATTAATAATTCCACACAGCTATCAGAACACCAGACAATAATACAATGTACTACTACTGAATAATAAATGAGACTACAACTGTACCAGTATTTGAAAGGTCCATGTCGAACAAATTTGAGGTAAAATCAAAAACCAACTTAAAGGTGATATTTCTGCAAACTTTGGCCAAGTGAGAATGGGCTATTTCTTTTGGTTCTGGGTAAGTTTTAACCAAGTTTGCTTGTGATTTTCCTAAATTAAATCACAGGTATTTAAGAGCACTCCTCAGTAAAGTAACTACTTGAGTTAGTAAACTTATTTTGTTGATACCATTTTTGTAGTTTTCTGAATGTCTGTCGTCCCAAGTCAGTCAGTATGGGAAATGCCATCAAGTATCTGAAGCTTCAGATAAGTCATATACCTCAAGACATGACAGATGCAAAGGTTGGTTGCTCCCTTCTGAAAAAATCCAAGATCCAAGTAATAATCTTTTTATCGTCTACCTTGCATAGCACATATCTATTCTGAAAGAATGCAGTTTTCTGGCTAAAAACTTCTCTGTGAAGTTTTTCAAAATTAATTGGAAATAGAGATTGTCCAAGGCTCACTTTTTTGTTTGGCAGTTTTTTAGGTATATTTTTACAACAAACACACATGGTTCTACAATTTGATACAAACACTGTTGGAAACATTGATGTGCAAGAAAAGGTTATCTGTTTCTACCACTTTGCACATTTTTAAGGGCTTTTAACTCAAAAGTAGCCATACTTATAATATGTTCTATTATAGATATATTTGAAATGTTGCATTTAGGCCAAGGAGCATCTGTATGATTGCATCGATAACTATGTCAAGGAGAAGATTCTTCTAGCTGCTGTAGCAATCTCCAAAGATGCGATCAAGAAGATAAATGATGGTGATGTTATTCTGATTTACTCATGGTATGTAGCATGTTAGCAATGTACAGAAATGAAATCAGAACATGTCTCTCAATATCCTTCGGTACAGTAAATTACTCTCCCCTTCAATTCCTAATGCCCTACATCATCCAACTATTTCCAATCCCTGCCCCTATATGCACGTGATACTTCCTCATCCACTTTCTGTCGGGTGGAATTTGAAGTTGCATGACATAAAACTGGGTGATTTTCAAGATTTTCCATTTTCAAAATTCTTCAGAAAGACATAGCTTCATGTACTGGACGTTTACACCCACACAAATGATTGTCTGGTGGCTACTCTAATCTGACAGACAACATCTATTGACGCCCAAATATTTCAGCCAGGCCTGCCACCTTGTGAAATGAGCCCAGATTATCTGGTGTTATGTAATTTTCTGTTGTTCCCGAAACTGGCACAGTGTGCTACTAGTGTCTTTTTAATAGGGGCCAGATTAACGTGCAGCGGTATTGTATTGCTCATCACCGGAGCACTTTTGTTCCCATTGGTAATCCGCTCATGCTGAATGCCACAAACAGTGGTATAATCTTTCAAAACAATGACGGATTTCCTCTGCTGTTGACAACTGAAAAAATGTGGCAATTCCCAGCAGTTCGGTCTTTAGTTTCGAGTACAGTCTTTTGTTACAAGGCCCAGCTCTTTTGTCCAATTTCGGGCTCCCCGACTGTGCTTATAAAGAACACATACCTGAAACGGGGCTCCCTGCCAGCATATGGTGAGAAATATGTGAGAAATATTGGTATCATTGACAAGAAATTTCAAATCACAAACTGAGTGGCTATTTGTATTTGGCTATGTCAGGTAATGGTTTATTTTGAAGGCAAGATCAAATTACTGAAGATGAGAACAGACTGGAATTGATCTCATCCATATTTTACTTTCCAGCTCTTCCTTGATTCGTCAAGTTCTTTGTGATGCCTACAAGGCCGGCAAGAAGTTCCGTGTAATCATCGTCGACAGCAGACCCAAGATGGAAGGCATAGAAGCTGTACGACGACTCATGAAACATGGCATCAAATGCACATACATCCTG